GAGGGTATTTAGAAAAAAGTGCGAAGAAGCATAAAAATCTCAAAAAAGAAACAATAATTTAGAATCCCTGAAAGCAGGCAGGTAAGAAGATAGGCAGATAGATATTACGATGGGATTCTAAAGGACAGTGCATATAACTATTGTTTTTAGATAGCAAAACCCTTCAATTGTAGAGAAATTATCCTTGAGTTAATGCTTATTGTTGGAGTAACGAATATAAAATCATATATATACCTGGAAATCGTATCCTGTCGAGCAGCTCACCATCTCTAGCCTTGCACTAAGCCATCCAGACTCTAAATAATTCGACTCTGGCCGATACAGAGGAAAAACAGGCAAGCCCTCTCGGAAGGCACCGGGAAATTGTGAAAACCAAGACACACCGGATAGGTCACCTAAGTTTAAGATGGGGTAAAAAAATTTACTGTTTTATAAAAAAGTCAAATTCAAGCGATTTTTTCAAGGTACTCATTAAAAACTCTCAATTAAGCACTCACATGCCTAAAAAGGATATCGGCTGATCTCAACTCGAGATTTTTACTTTTAAAATTCAGAAAGTAGAATCAACAGTTTGCAATAGAGAAAAAATATGTTTATAATCAAAATCAAAGCCTTTATTTAATTGGTCTTAAAACTTTGTTTTCTTTTATAAATAGATTTTTAAGACTTGCCTTAAAACGTGTCTTTAAGACATAATCTTCTATTGAGGAGGGTCAAATTCAAGAAGGCATGATTGAGGCGATTACATTTGATAAAGTATTTTACAGTATAAACCTCCACAGTCCTATTATACTGCAAATAAGATTATTTTGAAATGTCAACATTTTTATCTAAAAAGGATGCCAAAGAGCTAGGAAAATATGGACATAAATAAAAATCTCATTCGTCTTTTTTTCCTAATCACAGTTACCAAATCAAGTCACGTATTGTAAAGTCGGTTATGACAAGAAATCTTTACGAAAATGAGTTCCAGCTCCTAGGATGTCCATCATATGATGGACGAAAGTTCTGCCAGTTTTCACTTGAAACGAGGCACTGTGTCAACCTGAACATCGCATTAAAGCCAAATGGCTGCAGTACAACGAGAATCAGCCGTCGTATTCTGATGAGATCAACATATGAATCCCTTCCTCATGCACTTTTGTACGAAATGAAAGTCTTCCAAACAATGTTATCTCATGAGATGCATCGAAACCCAGTTACTATATCTATCTAGAATAAAAGTTATTATAATTATATAACATATACCCATCATAGTTGATTAGCAATCAATGTGAATTTCTAATAAATTTTGAAGATAATCACTACTTGAGGCAGAACAGATGCGGACGACAATTAAAGAATTGTAAATAAGCACTTCAATCATCTTAATTGTTGAGCTTACTTCAATTTCGAGTAAGAGTGTTGGGTGAAGAGTTTCTAAGCTCGGTTCCACCAGAAGACGACGGCCGATTCCTCTTGACCAGCCGTCGATTGGCTTTACTGAAAGATTCATCTCCTTCGATTCCGATCAAAAGTGCTAAGCTTTCGTCCGTCATATGACGAACATCATCAGAGCGAGGTATCATCTTCACAACAAAATTCAAGCTAACGAGTCAAGAAAACTCAAACATACAGAGACGGACACACTCACAGGCTTCGAGGTTGACATATGACCGTAACTAACCAAAGCACTTTATACCTGATCAAAGAGGCCAGATAAAAAGTATATATACCGCTTTTTAGAGTTTTCTTGACTCGTTAGCTTGAATTTTGTTGTGACGATGATACCTTGCTCTGTTGATGTTTGTCATATGACGAACGAAAGCTTAGCACCTTTTCACCGAAATCGAAGGAGATTACCTCGGAAACAGCGTCAGCATCAATCTTCCAGTAAAGCCAATCGAGGAATCCGCCGTCGTCTTCTGGTAGAACCGACCTTTGAATCTCTTCACCCAACACGCTCACT